CATTCCATCCTGAGATGGAGACAGTGTCTAATAGGCATGTGCATTTCAGCTGAACCTTGATCCATTTCTACTGGCCAGCTTCCGGTAGACCCTCATATCTCTTTTTTGCACATCTCCTGAAAATGGGCAGCAATGGGGAACTTACTGTCATGTATTATGTTCTGCAGTTGATGGTGGTTGGTGATGGAAAGGTTAATGTGAATATTAGTTCTAAAGGGTTGAGTAATCTGTAAGAAAGAGTTCATGGGTGAAAGCAATTAAGGGTGGAGGTATGCAAGAGATAGGTTGCAGCTGGGTGTTTCTGGATATAATGAGCTAGCCTTGGGACTGATATTTGGGAGAAAAATATTTGTTTTATATTGGTGGTAGATGTTGCTGGTTTCCCCCCAGGTTTGTGGATTTTCGGTGTCCTGACCTGTCTCCTGAACCTTTGGAATCCTGGAACCTTGAATCTTGAACTGGTTTTTGACTGCGGTATAAACTCTTAATCCCTGGACTTTGTTTATTGAACTCTTGGCATTTGACCACTGTACTGGACCTTTTGACTATGGAGTTATCATGAACCTGCAACAGTGTTTGCTGTCAGTTTTATTTTATATGCTGTGGCTGAGTACAATCTTTATGTTATATATTTCAGACTATTAAAACAGCCAGAAAGTAAGAGATGTTTTAATTAAATTGTTTTATACAAACTGGGTTTTTGTTTGGTTCATCTCTGCCTAAATATTAGCAGAGCCCTGGCAACGTGACACTTACCACTCTAACCTTTTCCGTTCCTGGGATACTTTCATTTTTTTTCCCTTCAAGGGAGCCTGTGGTTCAGAAACGGGGTTAAGGAAGCACCGTTCCTGAAATCCTTTCCTTTTTTTTTCTATTCAAGGGAGCCTGGGTTTCAGCAAGAGGTTAAGGAAGTACCCTTTCTGGTCCATTATGATGGTGATTTCCCAGGCTCCCCTTCCTGCCATTTTAGGCATTGTTAATCCTTATATCCTTCATTAAGACCTGGATTAAAAGCATCAGAGTTAAGTTGCCACTCTTTCGGGAATCCTTTCCCTTCTGTCTGTAGAGAAGACAGGGTTTAATGCTTTATTGAAGCTGTTTCTTCCTACTCTAGAGGAGTCAGGCACTACAGGTGCCACAGGCACGCTCTCTCCCCCCTACACACTGCTTTCCAAGGCATTTAAGGAGGCTTCCCACTTCCCAGGGAAAAAAGAGCAATTGACCTGGGGCTATCTCCCTAGGCTTCTTTTTAAAAAAGTCCTTTATTTTATTTTATTTTATTTTATTTTATTTTATTTTTATTTTTAAATAATTTTTATTAAGTTTTCAAGTATACAAATATACGATAAAATCACATGTCTAGTTTATGTCATAAATCAGAAAAAGAATAACAAGAAGAAAGAAAAGATCGTGAAGAAGAAAAAAATAGACAATAAAAGGAAGAGAAGAACATAGAACAAAAAACCAAACTATATATATATATATATATATATATATATATATATATATATGTATACAGATATATACGCATGCATATATATACATGTCTACACCCACATATACACATAAACATATGCATACATACACCTGCACACCTATACATTCACTCACATAAAGAAAGATATACTATCTAAACACATATAGATACAAACGAGACCGTCATTCTCGAGACCTCCACCCTTCTCTAGTATGGTTTTCAAAATTTTCTCTAAAACAGCGTTTCGACGTTGTTTCTTTCCCATTGGCAGGCAACAGTGTTTTCACCTTTCTTTCATTCCTCTTTTCTTCCCTTTTCCTTCCCTTTTTTTCTTGTTTTGTCTATCATATTATTAATCCAATTCCTCTTATTATTAGTTAAGTTCAAATTAATATCTTTATCTTGTTTTCATTTAACCAGTCTTTAACAGGGTTCCAGTCTGTTGCTTTTATAGGTGTATTTCTTAGGGATGCTAATATATATGTTAGCTGGTCCATGTTCATGAAGTCCATTATTTTCTCCATCCATTCCTCCTTTGTAGGGATTATGGCTCCTTTCTTTTATTTTGATTTGCACTGCCTTTTTTGCCCTCACACATTTCTGCTTCAGGTTTAACGCTTCCTTAAAGCTGGTTGTACTTTCTACTCTAGAGGAGAGTTAACTAGGTGGTGGTAGTTTTCTGAGAATGAGGTTTTTCTTTTTGTTTGCTGGGATTACTACTACTAATAATAATCTTTTAGAAGTATTTTCTGAATGAGAGGAGGGGAAGAGAAAAAGAAGCTAATAGGGTGACTGTCCAAGTCCCCAAATGTGTGCGTGTGCACCCTATCCACCCTTCCCATATGTTCCAAATGTCCAGTCAGCCCCACTAATAAAAAAAATCTAAAAATAAAGGAAAAGCAAAAAAATTAAAGAGAGGCCAAGCCAAGGCAAGCCATTAAGCCTTTGCCCATTATATGCTTCCAAAAAGCAGAGGAGGAGCCGTGATTGGTTGCCACGTGGTCCCGTTACGGACAGGAATCCATGGTGGCTGGGATCTTGCTGTTATGGCTACTGGGCCAAGCCAAAGAAGCCAAAATGACCGAAGGAAAATGTCTAAAATGGATACGCACACAAGCCTAGTGTCTAAGACCACTCCGTGTGTTTCTATGGCAGAGATTTAAATCTAGGGTCCCAGAGTTATAGTCCTTTTTTTTTTTTTACAATATCTAAGATATTATTGCAATATATCATGTAAATTACAAACTTCATTCATTTTGCAATGTAGCCATAACTTTTTTGGTGGGATGTGGATGAAGGAAGCATCATATGTGATTCAAAAACTGGTTTCTGTTGTCCCATAATAATAATAATAATAATAATAATCATCATCATCATCATCATCATCTTTGGGACTTAGGGCTGATTCCAAACATAAAAGGCAAACATTCAATGCCCGAATACAACAAGAATTCATCCATGCTAATAAAATTTATACAACCCAACATAAAAATATGAATGATAACTTAACAAAATAAAATTAAATAAAAAGCACAGCCTGTTATAACAGATATGACAAAACATCAAACAACAAATGGAAACATTCTGGGTTATGCTCATGAAAATATAATTTGGACAGGTGGGGAGTGTTTTCACATGTCATTCATGCTGTGCTCTTTAGAGTCAACTTGAACGCTTGTATGATATTCCCTATATGCAGCAGAGTGGAGATGGGTGGGGTGTGGGGGGTAGAAAGATGTGAGACATTATCTTTTTCAAAGACTGCTTATCTATAAAGCTTTATGCTTTGATGCACAGCCAATTGTTGCCACAGAGCCCTGCTGGAAGTAGATATATGTTGTGGGATGGGAGCTGGAGGGCTTCATGGCAAAAGGGAAAAGGAATTGGTGTATGGCAGGCAATTTAGCCCATCCGATCAGGTGGTAATTTTCGTCAAGGTGTCCTGATGCTAACCGGGTTCCCTGTGGCTGCTTTTGAGAGCTGGTAGATATCTTCAGAAAGAGGCTGGATAGCAGTCTGTTGGGAATGCTTTAGCTGAAAGGTCTCAAAAACCCATGAGGCCTCTTCCAACTCTATAATTTTATGACGTAGAGCAGTGATTCCCAAATTGTAGGCTTTCAGGTGTTTTGAATTTTAACTCTTAGAAATTTTTTGGCACTGAAGTCTAAAATACCTAGAAGACCAGATTTTGGGAAACACTGAAGAGAATAATGCTGAACACTGTAGAGAATAAACAATAAGAGTGTTGCAAAATTCCACCTTGGACAAAACTCACTTTGAAAAAGGCAGAACCTGAAATGTTTTGCTAGTACATTAAAAAATCGCTCTATATTTTCCACTAGGAAAGATTCAAATATCCAATGCATGTATTTCCCAACTCTAGTTGGCAATCTTACACAGCTGGCAAATCACTATAACTCAGATGACCCCCGATTATCTGATTTGAACTGGATTATATGAGTCTACACTCCAGATAATCTGAGATATAGATCCAGCCTTAGGCCCCTTCCACACTGCCATATAATCAAGATTATCAGATAATCCACGTTATCTGCTTTGAACTGGATTGTATTTGTCCATACTGCCATTTAATCCAATTCAGTGCAGATAATCTGGATTTTGTATTGCAGTGTATATGGGGCCTTAGTTGGCTTCTTGTCTTTCACATTCCCTGCTAAGATGACATTGGCTGATGCTGTCAAAGACTGTATGGATAGGGAGAACAGACTTTATTCACCCTTATCTGGTGAAAGTGCCCCATTATCCATTAAGCAAATGAGTTTGTGCTTGAATGTATGTGTTTTATCCTCACTGTGTTTGTCAATAGTTGGAATGTATGAGTTTTATCCTTACTGTGTTTGTTGGTATCTCTTCCCAACAGCTTTATAAATAAATGCCTTTAGAAATGTGCTTAGACTATTCTGCTTGTTTGAAACATTCTATTACCACTGAAACATAAAGGACCTTCATTATCCTTGCATTGTAATTGAAAAGGAATATCCGAATTTCAGTTACCTTTGTAGAAAAGAAAGCCTGAATTTACCTGCAACTAGACACTTTGTTGTAATTAAAATGTCCATCAAAATTGAAGCCAGAATGTGAGATGGTGACAAGGCCTCCAAGTTTATCAGAAGTTTCTGCTTTGATTAATAAAACACGCCTAGATCTGTATCTTGATTATGACTTCTTTTACAGGAAGACTAATGCCTTCATTTTCTAGGATTAACAAAAGAAGCAACAACATCAAGTTACCCAAAAGATCTAATACTATCTAGTCTGAATGAGAGATGAAATCTGTCAATCAAGCACTTTGAATTATTGCTTAACAAAGAGCACTGATAGACCTAACAAAGGAAATAGAAAATTTTGTTTCGCTTATGTCTTAAGAAACATGGTTCTCATTTATCCTTGACAGCTGTTGCTATGAAGTGTGTGTGTCTGTGTGTGGAGGGATGTTGGAATCTGCTGGAAGTAGGTCTCAAACCTCAGTTCCATGCTTTCGTTTCTTGTTTGCGGTTGACAGGGGCAAGAAGATGGGCCATGATGTTGATTTTCTGATCACTGTGCCAGGAACAAGGCCAAAAGAAGAACTGCTGCACCTAGTGATTGACTGCTGGAAAAAGCAGGTAATTCAAGTGGTTATAAGATCATCAAGATCAGCAGTCTCAAATTGATGAATGCATGTAGATGTTGAATACTTTATCTGTTCCAATCAACATCCCGGAAGTTGCTTTTCAGTCACACATATTGACTTAGGTTAATTTGCAGACCGGTAATTGCATTTGGCTCTTTTCTGTTCTTCTCTTAATTGGTCCTTGGCTTGCTGGGATAACTGGGGTGTCCCTTCTTCAGGCTGATCTATGGTTAACCTTTCTCTTAAACTCATTTTGTAAGAAAAACTTGATTCTGATGGCCATAATATTTTTGCTCCCCTTGTGTGCTGTTGTGTGCTGGGCCTATAGCAATTGGCTTTTGAACAGGACGTGCTCTTTGTGCCCAGCGGGAAGCCGGGGTGCCTCAGATGAGAGGCCCTATGGGTTTTCCTATACGAAGTCTTCAGAAGCTTAAAAGTTTAACAAAGTTCTTTATTATTGCTTAGGTCTTCAACAAACAATCTTACATCTTCAACAAATCAAACAAATGCTTCTTAACTTGTCTACAATGGACAGGCAACTTGCTTGGGGAACTGCTTCTTTCCTTTATGAGGAAAACCCTTTTTGACCCCTCCCTGGGCAATCTGCTTTCTAGGCTTTGCTGGTGTGGGCCCTACTCCCAGCTCCAAATTGCTTCTTGGGTACTTGAGTAGACCTACCAGCCAAGGCTCTGAAGAATTTCCAGCTGGAGTCCTTAGGATTTTTCCCAAGAAAGTTGTAGGTTCGTTTCTCCAACCCCAACAAGGGTTGTGCTGTAAAGCTGTTTCTCTTAAAAGCCTTTCCTTAGAGACTCTTCTTAAAGCTGTGAGGCTGTAAATTCCCCAGCCAGAGCTTTTGGGACTGTTTCCCCCCGGACTTTTTAAGAAACAAAGCTTCTCTACAGGTAGAAAACTTTCATATCCTGTAGCTGAACTTCCAACTGTAAGACTGAACTAAAATGGTTCCCTTTCCCTCCTGAACCTGGAAAAAAGAGCGGAACTAAAACTTAACAATGATAGACTGGTGGCTAGCCCCATGACTGCAGCCTAGCAGGAACCATCCAACTTCAAAATGCATGACCAAAACAAGCACATGCAAACGCTCAAAGAACGAAAGGAAGTTTGGAGCTCCTGATACAGCCGTACCAGCACACCTTGCCTCAGGACATCGACAAGAAGGGAAGTTGCTGCTAATTTAAACATTAGTGATTCGTATCTGTTTAAATAACAAGGATGAGTTGCTGAGAACATATGGCTACGTGAGGCTCTGTAGGAATCCAGCAATAGTGGTAGCCGAGGAAAGTGGGATAAACAAAGATGAATGATGCTGCTGCAGGGTATATTCTTTGACTAACGGGTCTTGGGCCCCTAATAGATCTCAGGAGCTGGTCTGAAGTCACAGCAACCCTTGCTAAACCTAAGCAGGCCAGATTTTCATTAGTGCTTGAATGGGAAACTATCTGAAAAACCTACATAATGCTGCTTTGGGTCCTATCATGTTGGGAAGATGAAATTAGGGTTCAGACTGGCTCTATTGTGGATTGAAACAGTTCACTTTGTCATCATAGAAACATTCTGTCATGGTGAGGAACTTCTGACCTCCCTAGGCCAGTACACCAGCTACTCAGTTAAGTACAGGCAGTCCCCAAATTATGAACAAGATTGCTTCTGTAGGTTTGGTCTTAAGTTGAATTTGTATGTAAACGGGAACAGCTACATCTTTAACTACCTTGTCATATGCACAGCCAGAATTGCAGCAATCCTGTAAGCACCCGCCCAGGAGGTGTGAGGACTTATTCTCCTGTGCCTTGCTCTGGTCCATCTTCCTCCCTCCTTCATAACATGAGAGGAAGCATCAGTCAGCTGGCTTGCCCCGTTAAGGGCAATGCAACAAAGGACACCTCCTGTGTTGCGCCAGCCGGTTTTTTTGGTGGTGTGACTCTGCTTCCATGACAGTTTTGCCCCAGAGCCACCCCAGAAGTACTTCTCTCACGTGTAGTGGGAGCTGGTGGTCTCTGTGGCAAAGCTGCGGCACAAGTGGAGTTGCCACCAAAATTTGCCATGTATGATGAGGTCATCAGTGTAAGTTCAGCCAGACAGGTAGAGAGATCGGGACCGAGACCGAGAAGCTTTGAATAGCATAGGAAAATGTTAACAGCCCTGGGGTGTTTGTTTTGATGTGTCCCTATTCAGAATATTTCACCTCACTTTCTGTCCCTCTAATAATTAGAGTTTGGAAAATCTGGGTTATTGTGGAAACAAAAATTGGTGATAAAGCTTCAGCTGAGACACACTTTTTTCTATGATAACTCTTCCAGGAGTGAATTTCCCTTCCAAGGGATAGATCTCTCTCACTTTCTGTTGTCTCAGCCCCATTCTTAACTATGAATCATTTGTAAGTCATACTGTATGTTTGTAACTTGAAAACTGTTTTTTGATATGGTCTATGGATATACTGAGGGTAATTCTGTGGAGAGGGGAAAGCATCAATGAACCTCTTGCCATTCAAAGGGTGGTATTAAGTGCAATATAGTGGTGCAGTGGGTTAAACCACTGACCTGTTGAGCTTGCTGACCGAAAGGTTGCAGGTTCGAATCCAGGGAGCGGCATGAGCTTCCGCTGTTAGCCTCAGCTTCTGCCAACTTAGCAGTTCGAAGACATGCAAATGTGAGTAGTTCAATAGGAACCGCTCCGGCGGGAAGGTAATGGTGCTCCATGCAGTCATGCCAGCCACATGACCTTGAAGGTGTCTATGGACAACGCTTGCTCTTCGGCTTACAAATGGAGATGAGCACCACACCCCAGAGTTGGACACAACTGGACTTAATGTCAGGGGAAAACCTTTACCTTTAACTAGTTGCTTCTTAAATTAGTCAAACAAGAGCTACATTGCTAGTTAAGCAGATGCTACAAATGTGCAAATCCACATGACTGTAAGATCTGACAGATAATATAGGTCATGGCAGGGGTAGGGAACCTTTGGCCCTCCAGCTGTGGTGGACTTCAACTCCCACAATTCCTTGAGGCTCGGCATTGGGCCAAGGTAAGCCTTTGGGGCGAATGCCGAGCCTCAAGGAATTGTGGGAGTTGAAGTCCACCACCGCTGGAGGGCCAAAGGTTCCCTACCCCTGGGTCATGGTGTAAATTCATACTATACAATAAAGGACCGTTGACATGTGTCCCCAAGGGACATTTTTCATTCCTAAATTTTTAACATGTTTTTAAGTCACACATAAAAAAAAATCACTTATAGAATTTTTAAGGTATTCCATCATTCTCAAAAGATTTCAAGGCTCTGGATATACTCAAAACCTTTGCATTAGAATTATATAGAGCATACAAAACTAGTGTTTAGATATCAAACAAGCAACCAACCAACAACCTAAAAACCAGTTTGGGCTGAATTTTGAACTTTTGAAAAACTGCAGCTTCAGTTGCATCTCCTGTGGGAGATTGTGTTGTATTTTATAATCTCATCAAGGTGGAGCCCCCGGTGGCGTAGTGGGTTAAATCCCTGTGCCGGCAGGACTGAAGACCAACAGGTCACAGGTTCGAATCTGGGGAGAGGCGGATGAGCTCCCTCTATCAACTCCAGCTCCTCATGTGGGGACATGAGAGAAGCCTCCCACAAGGATGATAAAAACATCAAATCATCCAGGCATCCCCTGGGCAACGTCCTTGCAGACGGCCAATTCTCTCACACCAGAAGCGACTTGCAGTTTCTCAAGTTACTCCTGATGACAAATCTCATCAAGGTACAACTTGTTTTGTCCTTGCACTGAACAATTTCCAATTTCTATTTTCATGACAAATTATACATATAAATAGATGTAAAATAACAACAGTGTACAATAAATAATATTATAATATCAAACCATGGCAATTAAAGTAATTTAAGACATTTCAAAATAATTGTGCACGATGCACAACAAATCATGTTGGTTTTCCTAATCAGCAATTATTCCCCCATATTTCTGATTCTTTGTCTTAAAACAAAAACAAAAAAGGCATTGGTTCACCAGTCTTTCCCTACACTTTGCACAAACATATAAATATTTTCCAGTAGTTTTTTAAGAATGTGGGGGGATTTTGCAGATGACTTTTTTATCGTGAAAGTAGTATCTCATGTTTTGGAAAGATTTTGACTCATGTATAGGGAAAGAGAGAGAGAGAGGAAAGGAGAGAGGTTTTGCTCCTCTGTTGGAGGGTGATGGAGTGATCTGATGCAGTGGGAAAATGCAGCCCATTGGCTACAAGTAGCTCCCGAACCCCTCTTTTGCAGACACTGACGCACTCTGACTTCACTTCAGGGGCCCATTTTTTTTAAAAAAAATCAAGCAATTTTTACCCAATTTTGAATGACTTTTGAATTGGTTAAAAACATATTCTCCTGCCTTCCTGCATATTCAGAACCCCCAGTACCCAAGAGTTTCACTGGTATAGAGTGGTTGAAAGTGGCATGTGTGACCTATGGAGGTAAAGGTAAAGGTTTTCCCCTGGCATTAAGTCCAGTTGTGTGCAACTCTGAGAGTTGGTGCTCATCTCCATTTCTAAGTCTAAGAGCCAGCATTGTCCATAGACACCTCCATGGTCATGTGGCTAGCATGACTGCATGGAGCGCTATTACCTTCCCGCCAAAGCAGTACCTATTGATCTATTCACATTTGCATGTTTTCAAACTGCTAGTTTGGCAGAAGCTGGGAGCTCACGCTGCTCCCCAGATTCGAACCTGCGACCTTTCGATCAGCAAGTTCAGGAGCTCACTGGTTTAACCCACTGTGTCACTGGGAGCTCCTTGAAAGATCTTACCTGTCTGTATTAGCCGTTAGATCTCTAAGAGAGTAATAGAATCATATATTCAGAAGAAACCATAAAAGCCATCCAGTCCAACCCCCTGCCAGCCATGCAAGAATACATAATCAAAGGCCCCATCCAAATGATATCTTGTGATAATGCACATTAACCCAGAATAAACCAGGTTTAGTCCTTTTTTAA